TGATGTGTGTACACCATGACACACACATTACATTGTGTATACATTACACAACATTATATTGATTGCAAAGATGGAGGCATTCTGTTTAGTTAATAAAAAGTAAACCAGTTGTTGATTGTATCTCACAAATTGTTTGTTTGTTTGTTTTGCAAAATTACAACTTAAACTGGAGAAAATAAGCCAAACCTTCAAGCCAACAAGATACAATCTCAGCAATTTCCATATTTATTTATTTATTTATTTATTTATTTATTTATTTATTTATTTATTTATTTATTTAGTCGAGTACATATTAGATAATATATATAAGTATAAGCATGAATTGAACACATAAAATAAATACAATTAAAGGGAACATTAGGACAGGGACGGTAGGCACGCTGGTGCACTTATACACGCCCCTTACAGACCTCTTAGGAATGGGGTGAGGTCAACAGTAGACAGTCTTAGGTTAAAATTTTGGGGGTTTTGGGATGAGACCGCAGTCTGGTAGTGCATTCCAGGCATTGACCACTCTGTTGCTGAAGTCGTATTTTCTGCAGTCAAGTTTGGAGCAGTTCACTTTAAGTTTGTATCTATTGTGTGCTTGTGTATTGTTGTGGTTGAAGCTGAAGTAGTCATTGACAGATAGGACATTGTAGCAGATGATTTTATGAGCTATGCTTAGGTCATAATGAAGGCGGCGTAGTTCTAAATTTTCTAAACCCAGAATTTCAAGTCTGGTGGCATAGGGTATTTTGTTACGAGCAGAGGAGTGGAGGACTCTTCTTGTGAAATATCTCTGGACTCGTTCAATTGTATTAATGTCTGATATGCAGTGCAGGTTCCAGAGATGAGCTGTATTCGAGAATTGGTCTAGCAAATGTTTTGTATGCTCTGGTTAGTAGTGTAATATTATTGGAGAAGAAGCTACACAAGATTAGGTATATAATTATAATATATAATTATATGCTGAACGAAAAAAGGAAGGAATGGATTATACTTGATAAATGGAAAATCTGATGAACTCTGGAGGGAAATGCATAGCATCATAAGGAAGCAAAAAACAAAAATGTCCCCAAATAGACAAAGTAGAACGTGTTGATACATTGAAATCAGGAGGAAAAAAGAGAAGAAAAAGGGAAAGCGGGGAAAAAATGTCCACCTAAACACAGAGTGCCAGGAAAGTGTAAGAAAAGACAAAAGCTTTATATTTATAATGCAAGCAACCCAAACAGGAAAGGCAGGAGATTTAAGAAAAGAATTTTCTTAATCTTAAGAAAATATCAAGGGAACTTTTATGTAAAGATAAGTACAATAAAGGACAAAAAAAAGAGCAAAGAATTATTGGTGAAAGAAGTTATAAAGATGGGACGGTGAGAATATACAGAAGAATGGGGAAAAATCTGAAATTGCAGGTAAGTATGCAGATTTGATCCCTCCAGAACTAAGCATTCTGGTATGTAGAATGAAAATTCAAGCAGAGATTTTATCAATGGATAGCAAGTGAGTATAGATAATAAACAGGATAAAGACAAGAACTTTGAGATGAATATGTTGTAGTATATTAAAATTAAATGAAAGAAGGAAAGATAAATATATATTTTAAGAAATAATGGTAAACTTTGAAGATGATAGCACAAATGTTATACCCAGATGATACATGGATTGATTAAAAAATGTACAGGAATACTAGAGGAATAATAGTAAAGTAAAAAATGAAATTGGAAATGAAGACATATGTAAATAGAAATCGGGTTTGCTCAAATATCATCTCAGATTGAATTAAAAAAGGAAGCAACAAAGGAATGGAAAAGAGGGGAGGAGTAGAGAGGGCAAAGTAGGGGAGTTGGGAGGTGAGAAAAAGAGAAAAGAAGAATGGGAAAAGGAGAGGAAGAAGGAAGGGGAAAGAAGAGCAGGAGAGAGGGTAAGAAGGGGAGGAAGAAGAGAGGAGAGGGGAAAGAAGAAAGGAAGTAGGAAAGGAAAGGAGAGGAGGAATGAGGAAAGAAGAAAGAAAGGAGAAGAAAGAATGGTAGGGAAAAAGAAAAGGTTGTAGTAAAACAAAAGAAGGAAATGGTAAAAGAGCAGACCCGAACAAACAAATAATTAATTAATTACCTAATGGAAGTTTAAAAAGAAGATGAACGAATAATGTATAAGGATGGATAAAAGACTGCACATTTAAACATGTTGATGAAAAATAAAAATAAAAAACTTTTTTCAAAAAAAAAAGAAAAGAAAATTCAAGCAGAGATGTTTGCTGCAAATAGATAATTGCAATAAGTAAATAAACAATCGTCCGTCCAAGAAAATATTCCTAGCATCAAGTTGCAGGGGTTGAGAAAATATCAGTTTAGGTGGTTTTTCAAAAGGCAACTGGACTTTCTTGTTTTTTCCTTGAAGATGTTTCACTTTTTCATCCAAGAAGCTTCTTCCGTTCTTCTTCAGAATGGAAGAAATTTCTTGGATGAGAAGTGAAACGTCTTCAAGGAAAAAAACCAAGAAAGTCCAGTTGCCTTTTGAAAAAGCACCTTTAGGACAAACCATAACCTGGATGACTGATTATTTATTTTATTGATTTATTGATTGTTGTTTATTAATTAAATATCAGTTTATTGATTAAAAATCTTACAAGACCATGCAATTGAAGTTCCAGCTGTAGCTTTTAATCCAGTAGGGGAAAAAACAGCAGTGGATAAGGAATTTTTTAAAAAAAATATCCTACCAAAAATGGGTAGTAATGCTAAATAAGAACCTTTGTTGAACGAGGAAGAAAAGAATGCAAAAAATGTGCTGCTTAGTATTAAACAACCAAGAAACCTATGTTAGCAGGCAATGGACACTCAATGCAAATAGGAAGAATAATAAGAGATGCTATCTTCCTAAATTCACAGATTCACTGGATTGTGACTGTAGCCCCCACGATAAAGAGATGACAGCTGCTTGGGGGGAAAAGTCTTTGAGAAATCCAGTCAAAATATCAAAGTGGAGAGACATCACCCTGACAGCAAAGATATGGACAGTCAAGGTTATGATTTTCCCAATTGTAACAGAGGTCTCTAAAAGTCGGATCATCAGAAAGAACTGAATGAACTGGAACTGAAGCTTTTGACTGCGAGGCTGGAAAAAGAATGGCTGAGAATATTTTGAGATGCAAGAAGAATCAGAAAGAGTCAGAAATAAAGGGAGAAGTCAACAACTGAGCCACAGAAGGCACCTTCCAGTTGAATCCCAAAGATGCTTTTTCAGGAGACAATGGATTTGTTGTTGTTTTTTCTTTTGAAGAAGTTTCGCTTCTCATCCAAGAAGCTTCTTCTATGGATGAATGCTGGCTTGAACACAAGACTTCCCTATCAAAGTCGCAGCCCAAGTCTCATACCCTCATTGTTGGGTGCAAGAAATCAGGAGCCAGGATATGGTTCAAAAGTATAACACGTTTATTCCATGCAACCTATGCACAAGAATCTGATCTACTAATGATCAAGGCACTTGTTTTGAACTATACTGCATGCACTATACTTCAGCCAAATAACTTACATGCACACTTGAAACCCAAGAATACCCTAAGACAGAAACTTGTCTACCCCAAGGATAAAACACCCAGACAGAAACTGAGCAACGTGGTATATGCAGTACAATGCTGTGAGCCATGTGCAGATCTGTACATTGGGGAAACAAAACAACTACTTCAAAAACACATGGCACAACATAGAAGAACATGGCTTAGGTCCAGGGTAGGACCATCTCCTGCCTGCCTCCCACCATCCTGTCCGCTCTCACAGGGCAGCTCTCTTCAGGGTACTGTCGACCAGACAATGTCGTCTGGCGACGTCCAGGGGTAGGGCGTTCTCTGTGGGCGCCCCTGCCCTCTGGAACGAGTTACCCACCGAGCTCCAGACGGCGCCTGATCTCCATTCCTTCCGTTGAGCCCTGAAGACTTGGCTATTTCAACAAATGGGCTGATTCAGGTTCTTGGGTTTTATTATTTATTATTATTTGATTTTAACTGGTTTTAATTCGGATTTTTATTGCATGTTTTTGCTTGTGTTCGCCGCCCTGAGCCCTTTGGGAGAAGGGCGGCATATAAATACATGTAAATAAATAAATAAATAAATAAATAAATAAATAAATAAATAAATAAATAAATAAATAAATAAA